TCCAGGCTCTCCCCACTGCAGTTAGTCTCACCTGCAGAGCAGAGGGAGGCAATGGCCAGCGGAGTCACGCTGAGTGGGCTGGTTCTAGCTGAGGTCTCACCAGGGTGTTTTCCCTTTCAGCCTGGAGGAAGGCCCAGCTGTATGCAGGTGAGCGGCTCTGAGTTCATATGGCCTCCCCTTCCGAGCTCCGACTCTGCCCTCTTCTCCAACCAGGGAGGGGTTGGTGTTCTGTCTCCTCATCACTTCTGTAACCTCCATCCGCAGTCTGCAGGGACTCCTTGTGGGAACACAGGCCTGCCTCCATTCTGGGCTATCCCTCCACAGGTCACTGTTAGGGTTAGCAACACTCTTCCCAGACTCCTTGTCCAGCTGCTACTTCTTGGTGCAGAGAAAATGGAGCGGTCAGTTGCGAGGGGAGATGGCAGCAGCATAATGACTCAGGAATCTCTCATCTTGAGAAGATTCCACAAACCATGCTTGCTTGCTTGGGACTCAGGTTTTCCTAAGGGAGCCTTTTGGCTCTTGATAGCTCTTGCTCCAAAACTCCTACTCTGTTTGGATCTACTTTTGGTTTTCCCGCTTCTTCCTTGTCCTCTGGGTATTGGTCTTCTCTCTGCTCCTTATGCTCTGACTCCCTGTCCAGGCTGTGTTTCTTCCTCCAAGCCTCCTTGGTTACTGAAGAATTCGTTGTTGTAGAACAAGTTTTCTGAATCTGGGGTCCAGAACCCGTGGGATGTTTATGGATTCTTAGGATGAGGGTCTGTGAAAGATCAGAAATTATATGCAAAAATCCTACATATATGTTTGTGTAACAGGAACCAAATGTAATAATCATTCTCTCTCCTTTTCTGTGAAATCTTATTTGCTGATAGGCTCATTCCTTGTTGGGCTTATTAGGGGCGATATGTGAAGACTGGGAAAGGAGCAACCTAGGGGAATCAAAATTGTTTCGCAGAGAAAGGGTGGGGAGCATATCAGGGAAGATAAGAGCAGAAGGAGGAAGAGAGGAGGCAATGACGAGGAAGTAGAGTGTCTGAGATTCACCTTATAGAGATTTGGGGTGGCTTGGAGGGTGGGAGAGAGACCACAAGTCACAGCCATGTAGCTCTGAGTTGGGGAGCACATGGCACATGTACAAATTATTTCAGTGCATAAAGGGTAATCAGCTCTTCGATACA